CAATTATTAATTTCTGGTTTCCTAAACATACGCACTTAATATTGCCGCCATGTAAACCATGCGAAAAATGTGATAAGATACCTACCTACGCAATGTGCACAACCGACTACGCGCACTGGCTCCGGCTCATGCATTTCGCTGTTTTTGTCGGCTCGTTTCGATATGATTATTTTTTTTTTATTTTTTTTTTATTTTTTTTTTTTTTTTTTTTATTTTTTTTTTTTTTTAACGGAAGGCATGCACACTCACACACACACACACACACACACACACACGCTACACCAAACACTTACGTACACACTCATTTACACAAAGTTAGTTATCATGCTCCTTTTATAATTCTGATTTATATAGGCATTTATATTTATCGCAAAATTAATTTGAATCTTTGTTGGTATTTCTTTTATATTATTGTTAATTTGTAATTTCTGCCCTACGTTATCATTTTAATTTTTGAATTGAATACAAAGTGAGTTTCTGTAATTGGCTAAAGTACCGTTTAAAAATTTATATTAGATTATATTGTGTAAAACGCTGTTGAAACTTGTTGATGATAAATAAATAAATAAATAAATAAATATAGAAATACATATTAAACGACTGGAGTACAAATGCTCGTATTTATCACACAAACATCTGCCCCCAACCAGGATTCGAACCCGGGACCTCTCGAGTCGGCGACACCATGAAACCACCACTACTCGACCACAGTGGTCGTCAAAATAAATAATAATGAAAATTATATGTACATCCAACTCATTGAGTTTTAGAAAATTTTAAAATGATCGGTCACATACGGGGAAAAAAATTGTCTTCTTTTCATGGATGCAATGTCAAATAACAAGACAGATTATAGAAATTGACCAATTTCTCCAAATGGTCAAGTATCCGTTAGATTGTTACGCATTTGAAAAAATCATACCGCTTCCGCAACGAAACCGAAGCTATGTTAGTCGCGGGATCTTACTAGATTTGAGTTTTGGGCGAGGCAAAACTGAGTCATACGGTCATAAAATTTCACGAGTGATAACCCTACACTCATGTCTATATTCGTCTAAGGCAAAGGTTCGAGCTATGTTTTTTTTTGGGTGTGTATGCTGTTGGTCCCAGATGACAACACAGCGTCACCGGGTTTGGGGACGGCGAGATCCTAAGGGACCTCAAGCCGAGAATTGGCGAGTGCCTCTAGAGGTATTCCAGGCAGATGGTATCTCCCCGCGGGGGGAGTCTCCTCTCCGTCTGGAGCCTCTAGACCATTCGAACCTGAGGGTTCAACTAGAGGGCGTCTCTGAGACTCGGACCTCGGCTCTAGATAGCCGTTGTCGTGGAGACAGAATATACATTCTTCGGAGCTATGAAGAGACATTCTAGCACTTATTTATCTCTGTTTGTAGCTATATATCTTTGGCTGGTCAGCACAACCTTTCAATTTCAAAGGGTACATAATGACTTGAGGCAAACCATTCAGTCATACGGCACTTACCGCTGAGTATTAGAGCTAGCTACCTTAAAGTTTTTCATACTGATCCGTTCTGAGCTGTCCGCATCCAGCGAGTGATCTGAGATCTAAACTACCTTTAGGTGGTGTTGTGTGTGAGGATGGCTCGGGACACCTTCGCGACTGGAATCCACTTACACTTAACGTCAGGTGGGGTGGGGTGATTGGTCGTGCCTCGTTTAGACAAATTCCAGCGGCTTCCCGCGACCTTTAAATGAATTGTCGGTCCACTCGCAACTTGTCATAATTTAATTTGTTTCCGAAAACGTCTTATACTTTGTAGATATATAATATATTTATGTAATTTTATTTATACTTATATCTCTCTTAAACTTCCGTACTTTTGTTGTTCTAACAAACCCTTGAGGCCTTTGGCGTGAGTAGTTATGTTTTTTAATAAATATAAGGGAATGCCCGTGATTTCGTCTAGGAATACAAAGAACATGGTAAAGTTTTGTATGAGTGACTGCCCTGGCTATGTATAAATACTGTTCTTAGTAATATTTAATGGTAAATGGCTGAATATTTATAATTTCTATGAAAAAAGGCTCAGGAACTTTTGATAAAACCACAATCTTGAAAATTATGAGAACTCCTACTATGTCATTACCTTACTACAGTTGATAAAAGATGTTGCCAATTATTTACAGAGTCATCAATTTCGCATTTTCGTAGTGTTTTAAAGCAAAAAAAATACAAATAATTTGTTATCGTCGGCCTGACAGGAAATCCATGAAGTTTTATTTTGTCCATTTGAAAAAATTCAAGGATTCATTATCATACAGACTTGTCTCAAGCCTGATCAGAATAATAAAATCTTTTATTTAGGCCTTTAGTGATTTGTTATAATAATAATTAGGGCCAAATATGTCAAAGGTTGAAGGAGTTTAGAAATCATATTGTTTATTTCGATATATTTCAAAAATATTTATTATGTATATTTATGGATCATTTATTTTGTAAAACGGAACATTTTGCTTTTTAAACAGACATGAAGTCAATTTTTATACTTTTAAATATTTGATGATTTCACGAAAGTAGTATGAGAATAATAAACACGTAATAATTAATAAAAAAATAAAAAAATGGTTGCCTGTAAAGTCGGTTTTACGGGCGAAAATTTTACGTGACAACGTCTTTTTCTCGGTAGAATATTTATTGATATGAATATAATTAAATTGCACAATAGGAACAAGGAATTGAATGAAAATAAGAATTGCACAAATTTTAACTATAGAAATATATTTTGTTTACTAAAACATTGTACATGTAAACTTAAACTTAACACGAGAGACTCATCGTAACGTTACCGAGCGTTACACTTTTTCATAAGTGACTCCCAGCCGCAACCTAATTTAAGACGTTGTCACGTCAAAAATATTGTTAAGTTACGGGCTAGTGCGAAATATTTATACACAGTTTCTTAGACATGTCTTTTGAATCCAGTCTCATTTAAACTTTTATTTTACGACAAAAAGTATTTATATGCGAAAGATCTTCATAATCGATTCAGTGGCTTAGATGTGAAAGCATATCAGGAGCTGGCGAACAAAACGATATAATTACATCAAATTAAAATTTACAGGAGCAGTAAATAACTGAATGACATACCTACAGTGAGCTTTTGGCGGGATTTTAATTTAGTAATATTAACACTATTTTAGGCGGTTTTGATTGCATGAGTTGAAATTCAAATTCAGATGGCTTAAGACCTTCGGGCTGTAAAAAAGAAAGAAGTATGTGGACAAAACCATATGCGTAATTGTACCGTTTTGTTCATCAGCTCCTCAGATTACAACATAACAGGCAGGTATAAGTATCTTTTTCGCATTTAAAATGTAAGCAGTAAGCGCAGAAGAGAATAAGTATCATTATTAGACAATCACAGCACATTTGGTGTAATTTATGTAACACTAACGCGTTGTTTACATTTCGTGTTAACTGACCTTCACGAAAACGTGATCTATCACAGTTACATAATACGAAGGCAGAATGGTAATGGATTGATAGCAATAGTAATTAATGTCAGGTACGGGTGTTACTGCCTTATCTAAATCGAGATAAGGTAGTCTTTTGGATGTCAAATTTTACTTACGGCCGTTGTAAACATCGGTTGCTATGCAACTAAACTAGATGACTAGCTCACTGGAGATTGGATTAATAGTGTAAAATAGTTTCGGAGGTAGTTACTAAAGGTCGTACTCGATGAGGTCAAATAAACTTCATGCTTGCCTTAAAACCGCAATCAACGAAGGTATCACAAACACCCAAGAGACAAAGACAATATCGACAAGTCTAGTTTTTGAAAGTACGTTGACCCGACCGGGGATCGAATCAATCACGGGATCTCAGAATTGATGTTGACATCAAATCCACTGCATTTCGGAGGTCATTAAATATTTCATATTCATTCTTAATTTTAATTGCTTACTTTTGTTATATTATTACTTTAATCAATGAACAGCTAGAGTTGAAATCTAAAAGAAAATTTTACTTTTCGTGTAGAAATATCGCTTAGCAACACAAAGTGACACGACGGACACGTCGTTTATTCAGATTAATACGAAGGAGCGCACTCAAAATTCCGGCACGAATAAATAAGAAAGAAATACTATGATAGTTTAGAAACCTACTGCTTATAGTTTCTCAAAATATTCTCCCTAACTCAAAACACATTAACAGACCTATTTTGAAAACATTTATGCCACTCGCGCTCCACATTTATTTTTTAGGGATCCGAGCACAGAACACGGGATGAGGATAGAAGGGCCTTGTGGGCGGTGCAGGCGCGCCACAGTTATGTTAGAGCAAATGCTCATAACTTGACCAAAATTTGGTTCTGATTGCGTCGTTGCTCTCGGGTGTGAGCTCTGATTGGGTCGATTGTTTGATGTTGTGTCGTTTGATTGGCTATTATCTATTAGGTGACAGTGTAGTGGGGGCGAGCCGGCGACATCAGTTCCCGTACAAACGGTCTATGAGCACCCTTCTAACACTTTTTCTGTGTTCTTTGGTTGCGAGTCAATGACTGATGGTATGGCACCTACTCGTAATATTGTTCAAACTTTGTAATCCTTCCGTTTATCCTCGTTTGTCGTCTCTGAGAGCCAAGCACGTACTTTCACAGATCCTTAATCGCATTGTCAAAGCAAAATTTCGTATGGAAGGGGCCATTTTATACTTATGTACGGTACGGGTGATGCTTATTTTTGATAGAAACTTTCCCCTATTTCGTATATCCAAATCAAATCAAATTAATATAACTTTATTCAAATAGGATCTATAGTACAACTCTTTTGAATCGTCCAAAAAATTTTTGACTTGTTTTTTTGTTGCGGCCGCTAGTTAAAATAATTATTGTAAATGAGAAATGATGTCGTTCTATTACTTAAAGTCAATGTAATTGCCTAATAGAACCTATTAAGTGAATGCGAAATGCGGACTCGACGGTAGCGGCAGGTTTTACTGTCGTGTTGTTGAATTATGTTTGTTCTTCTTGCAGCTTTCTATGGAGCTAGAGAGCGAATGGCTATCGAAGCAATCGACTTCGGGCGAGGCTAAAGCACTGAGCGCTCTGATGCGGCAGGTCATGCAGGACATCAACAGCCGACGGATGTGCACCCTCACAGGTACTTAATAATTTAAAAAATTGTGTGCACGACCCACACATCTGAAGTGAAACTTCTTTTCTTAAATAACCTTATATTAAGCGCTGCATAAGGCATAGAGGGGTATGGAGCTTAAGGACCAGCGCACGCATCACTCGTACATATGTATATATATATATTGTATATATTGTCGCGTGTGATGCTCGTAGCCTTAGCGTAGCGTTCAGCCTTCGCCGAGTTACCCTCTAACTGTTATGCTCGTCAGGAAGAGCTGCGCACGCACCTACACGCACACACACACGCACACACACACACACACACCTGCGCGCACGCACACACACGCACACACACCTGCGCGCACGCACACACACACACACACACACGCGCACGCACACACGCACACACACACCTGTGCGCACGCACACACACACACGCGCGCACGCACGCACACACACAAATCAACACAAATCAATGGTAAAATATTATATTTTTTGAAATACAAGGCCTTACAAGATGTCAAAATAAGTGTTGTGTGACGTGATTTTTGAAGAGTGCCACTCGGAAGGTTTTTTGCATTGGAATAGATGAATTTTGACTCGAAGAAAACAAACGTTCCTACAGAAACTGCTTCTAACGGCATTGATGTAAAATAATAAATTAATATTTCCAACACTCACACCCATTAGCTTAGCCCCAAAGTAAGCACTGTAGGCTTATGTCATGGGATATTAGGGTAACGGATATAATACATATACTGATACATATATAAGTGTATTTATGTGGAAATACATATTAAACTTCCATGAAGGAGTACAAATGCTTGTATTTATCACACAAACAACTGGGATTCGAACCGGGAACCCGGGAACTCTCGAGAAGGCGACACCTTGAACACCACTCGGCCACGGTACAAACGTACACATACGGGATACAAACCACTCGGCCACGGCGGTCATCTAAATAATGGACACTACTATAGCTCTTCTGTCTGCCTGTAATCTATGTGTCGTTGTGATCTTAAAATCTATTGAACTGTTTATCATGTAAAAGTTATTTACGGGATTGTTACCATGTACCTTGTTTTTAGCGAGTTTCCGATATTTCGGCACTGTTGCAAGCGCCGTGATCACGGAGTAACTAGTAACGTTACTTCATGGTCACTAACATTATAGTAATATAAGTTATTTACGGGATTGTTACCATGTACCTTGTTTTTAGCGAGTTTCCGATATCTCGGCACTGTTGCAAGCACCATGATCACGGAGTAACTAGTTAAGTTTAAAACAAAATATTGTTTATCATGTGTTTTTACCACCAGTTAGACAGATTTTGTTGGTAAGTTTATAATGTGAAAAACTATGGTTTGTCACCAAATCGAAGCGAAGAGGGTCACTAGTATTTATAATACAAGGTATGTTTGTCTAGTCTAGCTGCGTAGGTCGAATACAGCGAATCAAGACAGTATATTGTTATATTTTCCAAAGGCACATTCGAAAATATGCATTATCCGCCCGGTCAAAAATAATTAATTCAATACTAGAGTTCGTTCAAGAATCCTTTGAAGTTAAGTAAACAAAGATTGTTTTCACGAATTACCAGGTATTATAATACAATTTAATTATATGAGTTTCAAAAGAAATCGGAGCTTTTAACCAAGGTCCTTTGTTGAAAATATAATGTACCGTTACCATAGTAACATTATGTACCTTTTCAGCTAGCATATAATTTGAATCAGACATTAAAGGTAAATAGTCATTCGCCTGCCTTGCTTTCAATTTTATTTGGCGGCGTAGGTACTGTATAGGTATGTCTTCCTTTTCTGAACAGTTATTTGAAGTCTACGGCTTCACTCATAACCTATTATAGTAAAACGTACTTCAAAGTGTTCAGTCTATTGCTTTTTACACCATTAACATTACCTTACATACATAAATATACATAAACATTACCGTAACATTGGTTACTGGTAATAGCAGTCAATGACCAGGCGCGGCGAGGGCTTCCACCCTTATGTTGTCGAAGTTCCTCCCATTCGCACGAAGCGATTTGTGGTGTGGAACTTCTTGCCGAGGTCTGTTTTCCCGGACCAATATAATCTGGACATCTTCAAGGCCAGAGTGAACAGGCATCTTCTAGGCAGGCGTGTACGATCCTAGGCCTCATTATCGCTTCCCATCAGGGGAGATTGTGGTCAAACGCATTGCCTTTTTTGCATAAAAAAAGCTTCTCGACTTATTTGATAGTTCAATTTTTGAAAAAGAAATACCACTCAATGTACATAACTAACTAGTAACTCTTTTGTAAATGTATCGCATCCTATTCATCCCTAAAAGAATTCTTTGCCTGAGCACGTTTTCGCTTCTTCTTACGATCTGGGTTCCTTTAAGAGAGGCGTGAAGAAGCATTTATGCAGGCCGGAAACGAAAGGACGGTTGGTGTGGCAATTTATAACTGCTGTGCCAGCTATCTTCGCGTTCGGACTTTATCACCACTTAACATCAGGTGGTGGGCAAATGACTCTATCATTTGCCTATCTGAATATACAAAAAAAGGATGCGAAACGGCAAAAAAGTATTAAAAAGCCGCATTTTGAACCCGTTTAAGTGTGTTTTCTTTAGTCGTTTTTCTTGTTGAAAATTTGACGTTTCCACTATCAACTAAGTGGAAAAGGACATCGGCCAAATCATATTTGGATCAAAGTTGAACGTCTAGAATAGATATTTTTACTAATATTATTAATTAAATATAAACAGTTTTTACAAATTGTAATAGACACAAATAAAAGCCGAGTAAAACAAAAAAAAAATATAAAACACTGCATTGACATTCATCCTAACTTGTCCTTTTTGGTAAACAATCTTGGCACTTCTTTTTATTGATAATACAGCATTAAAAATCAACTGATAACTAGATTCAATAGGTTACAGTCTACAATAACGATTTATCGTAATAGATTATTGACTTTGTTATTATTTTATTTATAAATTGGTGATTTTGTTAAAAAATTGTGCCAAGATTATTTAACAAATAGGACAAGTTAGTATGTTTTTTTAAGATTCTCCCTTTTCGGGGAAGGCAAAGGGAACAATGCCCATTAAGCCAAGCATTTAGTTTTATTAATCTTCGTTTTTTACATTAGAATGTCGGTGTGGCTCATCCTAATGTTTCTTGGAGTGTTTGTCGCGCAATGTATCGAGTTGGCTTTTCAGGTAAGCTTCTGTGAGGTAGTCAACACTACCATAAAATTCTCACCTCCACTTGACCGGAATAACATATATATTTTAAAGATTCCACTAATTATTCAGTTGCGCAGACGGTTGTAACACAAAATCTCATCAATTTTATTTCACAATGTCCACTGTGAACGAATTTAAGAATAATTAAAATAAGACGCCAACCTCACTCGATGAAATCAAATGGCTTCGCTTCTACTACATTTTGAATTTATCTGTGATATTGGTATACTTAGTTATGATTTCTGTGCAAAAAATCAATTTCTGTAATGAAAAAATGTAATACAGATACGTAATAAAAATGTCAAAATAACATAACCAATAAATGTTCAAAGCAAAATTTCTTTTTTCCTCGGCTTTCTTTCGTCATGATTCTTACATATATAAACTCAATAAATTACGCAGAATCTAATGATATATCATTTGTTGAAAGACGCAAAATTCAATTTGAAATAAAACGATGTATGGGAGTTGGCCGATGTCCTTTAAGCGTGGTTACATTTAATGATTGGTGTGCGTGAAAACTAAAGAAACATAAGAAAAACCACGGTTACAAACGGTCTTTCATTGTAAACTCTGTAAATAAGTATATTATGAAGAAAAATAACAGTCAGAGTAAAAATGTACTAGTTTATAAAAAAACTAAAAAAAATGGATTTAAAATGTCAGTGGATCCAATACTAACGGAGTGATAGCTTGTTAAAGGTTGGTTCTTCTTCATCAAACGCCAAAATCGAAAGTTTCAACGTAAACTTACAACAAAATATCCATAAAATAATGCATTTTCTAGGAAAACTCATAGAACTTTTTAGAACTGCTTGAAAAAAACCTTTATTTATATTATTTATAGAAGTTCCTTCTATAATAATTAAGCGAGTTATGACCCAAGCAAAGTTGGCCCCCATTTTTCTAGCGGCAAAATATATGAAAATCAGTCCCTACTTACTACCCCAATTGAAAATGATCGTTACCACTTTACAATTTATTTAATTTATGCACTTGTTTAACCGGTTTGAATTGCTTAGTTTTGAAAAGAAAATCAGGTAAGAGTGAAAAGAGCTTTTTTGTAAATTTACAAAGAATTACCTTTCTTTAAAAATAACTCAAAATCTTAGATAGGTACACAGAACTTTTAGGAGCTGTGATGATTTTTTACTAAACATATATTTTTTTTCCAAAAAAAGACACGTTTGTGTATTACCCACCGATGCCTCCTCCTAAACCGTCAATCTGCAGGTGCAAAAATTAGAAGGTGTATGCGAAATAAAATTCACTTTAGTATTACTTAGATCAATTGGTATAGAATCAACTCGTCTATTTGATTTCTTTCATAGCTAATGAACGAAACACGATTGATGTATTTTTGGGGTTATACAAGATGGCGCAAAAGTAATCATCCAATTTTATTTTTTTATAACTTTTTTACTTAATAAACAAATGATGTGTGATGGTAAATCTTTATTAGGAGCTTTAAAATATTTTCTCTTAAGGGGAAAATGTGATATTCGTTAAGTTGCTGCCGTCAGTGTTGATACACTTTATAGTAATATAAGTTATTTACGGAATTGTTACCATGTACCTTGTTTTTAGCGAGTTTCCGATATTTCGGCACTGTTGCAAGCGCCATGATCACGGAGTAACTGAAATATCGGAAACTCGCTAAAAACAAGGTACATGGTAACAATCCCGTAAATAACTTATATTACTATAATGTTAGTGACCATGAAAGTTTAAAACAATATATTGATACACTTTGTGCCCGTTTTATCGCATTTTCTATGATTTCCGGTGATGAATGTTCGCGATCTTGTCTAATGACTCCGTAACGTAAGAGCAAAAAGAGAGAAAGAGAGAACAGAAAAAAAAGAACATTGTGAGTTATCATAATAGGCCGACTTAAATTATTATGTTGATATTGTGACCAACCAACTCTCTATTCGTAATTTGTAGGATATAATTTAGTTATAGGATATAACTTAGTGAATAGTCAGTCATAAATAAATAAAAAAGAAATTGGAAACACAGGGGCCTATTTATCGAACTTTAAAGTCTTTTGATTGGTCATTACTATCTTGGAGGAGTTCGATGGCGCGGGTGGTGAGCGCGTTCGGCTGCGATCGTGGAAGTTAGGCAACTTTCGCAGTGGTCGGTCATTGGATGGGTGTCCAAAAATCTTCTATCTCGAGTTCCACCGTGCTTCGAAAGGCACGTTAAGCCGTTGGTCCCGGCGGCATCTGCAGTCGTTAGCACCCGCCAATCCGCACTGGGCCCGCGTGGTGGGTCATAGCCCAATCTCCCTATTCCATCCATATGGAAGGCCTGTGCCCCAGCAGTGGGGACATTGAAAGGCTGATGATGATCTGCACTACACTAAAAACTGCAGCGTAAAGCATGATATTGTCCAACATTATTTATTAATATTACCTAAGTCTAGTTCATAAACCTAACTCCACAAACTTATCAAAAGCTGTCTGCAGATAAATTAATATGTACTTAAGTATACGTATGACTACAAAATTAATTACAAGTTAGCTTACCCACGATATTGATATGATAATAGACGGATAAGTGATAGCTATTGATAATAATTAACAAGGATTCTTTCAGGGTTGCCTATTTCATATTTAATTGATTTTTTGATCATATCATTAATTGTGCCGAATTAAGGGTGACGAAGCAATATTGAGCTGTGATTCGCTGTATTCTGCTCATGTATTAGCGTGTTAAGCATGTTATATCTTTTATACCATGGCGAATGTTCTGAGGAGTTATGCTCCCTTATTCCGCCTTCCCCTTACCTTCAGAGGACCACGTGCGCTGCCCAATCTTATCAGTTATGACGACCTCCGTTGTCGAGTGGTTTGTACGCCGGGCTTCATGGTGTCGCCGACTCGGGAGGTCCCGGGTTGGAATCCCGGTGGGGGCAGATGTTTGTGCGATGAATACGAGCATTTGTACTCCATTCATGGATGTTTAATATGTATTTCTATATTAATATACTTACGAGTATATATGTACAATATATGTTTTCTATCCGTTACCCTAGTATCTCATAACACAAGCCTTACAGTGCTTACTTTGGGGCTAGGCTAATTGTTGTGAGTGTTGGAAATATTATTTATTTATTTATGTTGATTCGTGGCAGCCCTATTGTTGGCAGGCGTACTCAGTAGGCAGCGTTTATTTCACACAAAATGTTATTATGACTGTCTGATTTTATGTTTACTTTTGTCTCTTATCTAGTTAATGATTAATGAGCTCACGAACTCGAGAATAATATAAAGAATTCTAACATATTTATAAGTGCATGCTGTGTTTGCATTTATAAGATTTGTGATACTGTTAAGATACACTGTATGTTATTATTTTGTCATTTTCACATTTCGGTTTTGCAAACCAAATAAAAAAAAACTGATTTAATACAATTGGGTCTTAAAAATAGTAAGTTTTTAGAGTTATTATGATAAGTAAATGTTCTTTTCCTTAACATGCTTGGAAATTTGAGCATTATTTTGACAGTCTTCTTCGAGATAAATCGAAGTTGCTGTAGCGGCCAAATATATGCGAGCAGCGTCTGGCAAAAGTTGTATGAAAATCCATATCTGTCGTGGTCTAGCGGCTTACTCCAAAACAAAGCAATCTGATTGGTAACTTATGAAAGGTTTTATTGAAGTTTGCTTGGCCGCTGCAGTAATAATACATACATAGGTAATAAACTTTAGTATATTTAATGAGAAAATCTCACTTGATCTTAACAAACTTTGAATAAATGTTTAGTCCAGTATATTTTAAATTTTGACCGATTTCCCGAAGGAGGATTTTCCACTCAAATTAAAGCATCTACCAACCAAAGTATCTTTTCACCTTATGTTATAAACAATAGTATTCCTTTCCGGGCATGTATTTATATTTACAAATAAAGCTTAATTTAAAAAAAAATATTCCATTTTCGATTTTGAAGTCAGTTTTATTTTTTGTTTATTTTTTTTATGTTTTTATTTTCAATGTTTTTTCACGATGTAAAACAAAACTGGACTAGTCCACCAGTTTAAAGTCGCTCAGAGAGCTAAGGAAAGGGCTATGCTCGGAGTATCCCTGAAGGACCGCATCAGAAATGATGTAATCCGGCAGAGAACCAAAGTCACCGACATAGCCCACCGAATTAGCAAACTGAAGTGGCAGTGGGCTGGTCACATCAGCCGCAGAACTGATGGCCGTTGGAGCCTGAAAGTTCTTGAGTGGAGACCACAACTCGGTCAACGTAGTGTAGGACGCCCTGAGACAAGATGGGATGATGATATTCGTAGGCTGGCTGGAGTGGGCTGGATGAGAGTAGCACAAAATCGGGAGCAGTGGCGTGCATTAGGGGAGACCTATGTCCAGCAGTGGACGAACATGGGTTGATGATGATGATGATGATGAAAACAAAACTGTTGTTTTGCATTTCTCTAGAGCCAAAAGAAAGTTTAGTCCATTCTCAATATCTATTAGAAAACGTAGACGAAGCTGGTAATGAATAAATGGTTTCCCCTCCAGTGGGTACGACGACGACGCATCTGACGGTGGTGCGTGTGAACAGCGACCCGGCCCCCGTGAAGGACCACCAGGTGCCCGTGTTCCTCTACAGCAGGCACTCTTTCGTAGCAGACCAGTGGGACCTCACTACCAACCAGGTCAGTCAGTTCAATAATTTAAAATAGCGGGAAACAATAGACTAGACCAGTCGAGACAAAATCGCTCGCCTGTCATAAGCAGCTACTTTATTTTTGAGTGTGTATGCCGTTTAGGGTTGCCACCTTTTTTTTGTCCAAATAAAGTACATTGGATATTAAAAGTAGAAAAAAAGTACATTGTGTCCAAAATAAAGTACATTTTATTCCACTTTATAAGTAAGCTTAAAAATATATTTTACGTTGCTTCTAGCAACTTTTAATAAATAATTTGTAGCTACTAAAAATCTGTAACATATTATACATACTGTCTGTCCGTGTTACGAAAAAATTCTTCCTATCAATCTCTTTTTGTATATTTTACGCAAAATTAATCCCCGTGTAATCAAACCACATTAAATAAAGTATTTTCGCGTACTTTATTGTTGGCATAAGGTATACAGTACATTTATCCAAAATAACGTACAATACTTTATAATAAAGTACGGGTGTTAACCCTAATGCCGTTGGTCGCAGATGACCTTTACAGCGTCACCGGGTTTGAGATCCTAAGCGGACCTCAAGCCGAGAATTGGCGAGTGCCTCTAGAGGTATTTCAGGCGGATGGCATCTCTCCTCTCCGTCTGGAGCCTCGGCTCGCCTCAACTAGAGGGCGTCTCTAAAACTAGGACCTCGGCTCTAGTTAGTCGTAACAAACGATAGATTTCTTGTGAATGTGTGTCTATGTGAATGGCGTGGTAAAGAAGGATCTGATCCGCCTATCAAAAGTGGCTATAGTCCAGTTTATGCTGGAAAAAACAGCAGAAAAAGGAAGCGTTAATATTTCAACAAAAAAATTGGCGTTTTCTGTCGGTTTTTCAACCAATGACTTAACATTCCGAAGAGAACCATAGAGGAACTCAACATGAATCTTTGGTCACGTATCCAATTGCTAGTCTTTCATAATGTTGCTTCATTACCACAATAGCAAAACAAACGCATTTATATGAATCCAGTCTCGCGCGAGTACTACGGGCGACGCGTTCCAATTCCGATAAACATATTTTCATCTGTGTTTACCAATAGAAACTTGCGTTTCGCATACCTTGATAGCGTGCGTGTGTATTTTTAGATAAGTATTATATTTAAAGTGTTTTACGACCAGATGTTTATTCTTAAGGATAATTTCTTATTGTAATAGTCTACACTTGTGCTAATAGAATATGGTAATGGTTAAGCGTTGCCAAGGGATTTTAATATTATTTTGGTGATTTTGCAAACACTGTATAAAGTAAAGAAAAAAATATACCTGCTATCTTTGGGCTGAAAAACTACTTAAAACTTTAACCCCTTTATTAGTAAACTAACAATAAGCTTGGTTTAGATCCAAAGAAAAGTTTAACTAGGAAAAAAACCACGCGGACCAGGCACCGGACGGTACTCGAAACCGCACCCTTCGCAACCCGGGCGAAAGGCACTGACCAATTATGCTACCACGTCCCTGATGGCCGCGTCGAAATTTTCCTAGCCTTAAGCTGCAAGGCAGCGCCATCTCTTCGCATTGTATGTAACCCACAATGTCAAATGAATACTTTTTCAAGTATTAAACATTTGAAAGAAGAAATAGCAATTATAGTTATGTTTTTATTTTTTGAGCATTTAACTGCTAGATGTTTAAATCTAAAGAAAAGTTTTACTAGAAAAAAAATCAAAATTCTTTAGATTTAAACATCTAGCAGTTAAATGCTTAAAAAATAAAAACATAAGCTTGGTTTAGTTAATTCATGTTTTGTCTCGGTTCATTAAATGCCAAACGACATTTCAGTCACGTGAACAAATCACGGCGTAATTAATCTAAGTTTATGCCTTGTTTATTAATAAGGGGGTAGGGGTCTAGTCTAGGTTTGGTACTAACTACGTATATTGAAATTGAACGCTATGAATCTGTCGCTAGATTTTGCCTTTGGTGTATCTGAATGTGGCCTATAATAACATAATCTTATTTGTTTCTTAGGTTTTATCACTCATTAAATGAAACAATTTCAACGGGTTATATGCACTGAATTTATTTATTTATTGACGTTTTGCATCCTTTGCAGGAATTCATTCTGACGACGCATCAGACAAGGTGTCTTGTTTTTCTTGTACCCTTTTTTTAAAAGGTAAAGATTGAGACAAGAAACTCGACACTGGCGCACTCGATAATCAAAATAGAAGAAGAATATAATCTTACTTAGAGATAGATGTAAATGATGTAATCAATCTGTTATGATACTCTGCCAACCACGGATTATATGGCATAGACCTATTATGTAGAAAAAAAATATGCGTTTTAACTGATTGTGTTGACTGCAAATCCTCCCATGTGTGCGCGCACGCAGGTCGTTGATCCCGCCTACTGTAACGCTAATGGACTAGATTTAGAAGTTTTTCCGCGCGCTTTCTCACAGCGTGAAAATAAACATTGTATGAGTTGACAGGCGCGCATTTTTTTTTTTCATTTCAATTATGCGTGTACGACCGAGACGTAAGCACCGTACCGTTCAGCTGTCGCTATAGTATTATTAATTATGTAGATTAGCATTTCTCCGTGCCTTGTACGTTTCAGCTTAAAGGAAATTGTATCTGTATTAAGAGCTACAAATAACATCAAGCTTGTGATTGTGTAATTAACTAAGTAATTGATCCATTGTTTAGCTTTTCGGGGGTTCCGTACGCAAAGTTACAACGATTTTGAAACGTAAATATGCATCTCTTGGTCATCGTTGCTTTCATCGCACAGCGCGTCCTGAATTTTCATAGAATGTGTATTAGTTTTGATTTGTACTATAACGCAACAAAAAAGTTTCATTTAAAAAGACGGTTTCTCATAACGTAAATGATTTTCGACATGTTTAACACTTTTATTAACTCAATAAGATATTTCATACAATCTTTCATCCCCTGTTATTGAAATATCCTTTCATAGTGCACACCTAGACTGAGAATAGAATAGAAATATTTTTATTGCTCTCACAGTAATACATAGTACAATGGGATATGACAGCGTGAAGGGCAAATGGATGTGGCTCAGCATAAACTGCTCATCTCACTCATTACAAAGTGTCGCCGCACACGGCCCCCCGACCACAACCACAAAACGCCGCCAACGGCATATTTCTTGTAGTTTTCATACATTTTATATGGACTCGCCACACACGGTACGCCGGTGGCCGCCACACGCTACAAATCGTCGTTGCTCGCTTCTTGTGGCCCGCACCGGCCACTTAATGCGCCGATACAAAACGCCGCCACAAGTCACTCGCGCGATTCCCCACCTCTCTCTCCCTTGATTTAGTTCAGCCACTTTAGTAGCCGCTTCTAGCTTCGTGGCGGCGTTTGTGGCTGTGGCGTGTGGCCCGTGTGTGGCGACACAAAGAATCTCGCGCAGCGCTGGTTTTCAGCCACACCTACTTCTCCTTATACTTAGACTTCATATGTGCCTAATTTGGAAACATTAAAGACCCAGCGGTTTGGGCTTTGCGTTAATATGTCAGTCAGGCAGGTTGTTTTTTGACTGTGTTTAAGTTAACTTTGACGCTCTGCTAACCCCAGAAAAGGACGAACACAACGTTTTTTGCACCTTTAACATGAACCGCAAATTACAAAATCGTGAACAAAACGCTGTTAAAAATTCATAATGATTTAAAGTTTCGAATTCGTGCTTTGCTTCATCAAATGAACAGGTTTGAATAAATATTCGGTGCCAACATTGTTACTATAGAGATGAAATGAGATGAGACACTTTATAAAGTGTAAGTACCGAGCTGTTTATAAGAGCTTGATCACTTTGCTCAGCTAATGGACTTCATTAGTGTGGGACAGTATTATTCCTCGTCGTAAAATGTAGCAAAATTTTCTTTTCTCCGTTTGTTTGAAGTGACTGTTAACCATTTTTATTGTCACTTTTGATAATTTATTTGCTTATTCTTTTTTTCAATGGTGTTTGTATAAAAAATTGAACGACCTCCGTGGCCGAGTGGTTTGTGCGCCGAGTTTCATGGTGTCGCCGACTCGAGAGGTCCCGGGTTCAAATCCCGGTAGGGCAGATGTTTGTGCAATGAATACGAGCATTTGTACTCCAGTCATGGATGTTTAATATGTATTTTCTATATAAATATACTTATATATATGTACAGTTTTGACGACCTCCGTGGCCGAGTGGTTTGTACGCCGGGTTCATGGTGTCTCCGACTCGAGACGTCCCGGGTTCGAATCCTGGTGGAGGCAGATGTTTGCGTGATGAATACGAGCATTTGTACTCGAGTCATGGATGTTTAAATATGTATTTCTATATAAATATACTTATATATGTACAGTATATGTATTCTATCCGTTACCCTAGCAACCCATAACACAAGCCTTACAGTGCTTACTTTGGGGCTAGGCTAATTGGTGTAAGTGTTGGAAATATTTGTTTATTTAGTATATGTATTCTATCTGTTACCCTAGTATCCCATAACGCAAGCCTACAGTGCTTACTTTGGGGCTAGGCTAATTGGTGTAAGTGTTGGAAATATTTATTTATTTAGTATATGTATTCTATCTGTTACCCTAGTATCCCATAACGCAAGCCTACAGTGCTTACTTTGGGGCTAGGCTAATTGGTGTGAGTGTTGGAAATATTTATTTATTTATCTAGCTGCTTTTGTGTTTTAATTTGGATATTTTGTATCTTGCGGTAAGCAAAAATATACTTAGTTCGCATGTTGCCTACCCCCTATTGCACTCGCAGTTTTTCTTCCTTCAAGCTAAACCACAATCATAAAAACTTGCGCAGTAAACGTTTTTTGAATGTATAATTGCTAGTGCGCAGACTTCCTTGTCTATGGTCGTTGCTCAAGAACTTTGCCGGGGATGTTCGTATGAACGTATACTCATCGTACGCAGCCACCTCGAATACGCCTTACGAGTTTTAGTCTCAACTAATTATCGTCAAAATTCTTTCACAATAGAGCTTCTCACACTATTAACCAGTACTCATC